TCAGAAATTACGAAGAACGTCTAATATCAGAAGCACTTCATATCAAGTGGAATCCAAATTTTCTGAACAGGAATGATGGACTAAAACAGGATCGGACCTGGTTACAACACCCCCCCTCTCCCATCAAGTGACAAAATCAACATGAATATGATATGCAAGTTCACTATGTAAACACACACTGCTTTTATAATTCTACACACTGATCAAATCCAACAATCTACACTTGATTTTGTTATCTTTACCAATTGACCAACTTGACAACTAAAAATGCACCCAGACAGACGAACGACGATCAAGTTAGTACACTTTCTTCTGATACCACAGTAGATGTACTATTACCTTTTTTATTTAGTTAAGTGATCTTCATTGGTATTTTAACTTTCAATATGTCCTTTTAACTTAACCTAAGTCCATTTTCTCACCTCTTAACTCTTTGATATATATATATATGTGCTGAGATTTTGTAAATTCCGGTTTAATAATACTTTGATAAAGCTATTAGCAATAAATAGCGAAACGTCAGTAAAAACAATTTCGTTTTGTTTTTCATTCATTGGGAAATACAAAAACCTTTTTTATAATGTCAATACTTTTTGCTAAATTACTGTGATATAAAACTAAAAAGACGTTTAAGTTCCATCACCACCTTACCAGTAAATAACTTCCTATGACGAATCTAGTTAAATAGTTAATTAGTTAGGTGGTGAGATACCACCAAGTTTCGCCTTAAACATCAACACATTGGTAAAATGGTGCTTTGAAAGAAATGAGACAGAAAACAAATCATCACCATATTGAGAATTCTAATTATTGTATCAGTTATTATTCAAAACAATTAGTTCCCTTTATGAATTTAGACAAAACTACCATATATGGGGCATCAACATCAACTTGATAACTAGAGAAAGATTGAACGCTGCTATTAAAAAAGACTTTCTATGCAGCTAATATCATAATAATTGAGAATGTGAAGCCAATATATCTATCTAAGCCCTTTGAACATACGAAAAATGATGTCACATCCCACTGTATTTACCAGTTTGAATGTACGTGTGGACACACATACATAGTGAGGCCTCATCGATCTCTGAAAGTAAGGGCTGGCTTCTGAGCATATACCTAAATGGCTCCAGAAACAAATAGAATCTTCATAACCCATTAATGGTGTGACCTAGGCGACCTAGCTCCTCTATTGCGAAACATATTATAGAGAAAGAACATAAAATCAATGCTTATACGTCTTTTAAATCTATCTATAAAAAGTGTTTGGGGCCTATCCTTAAGTTTGTAGAAGCCCTAGCGAGCGATTAGGAAGTTTAAACCACCTTTATGCGTTCAAAAATAATTCGTCATCACACTAAACCTTCTTTGGTAAACTTTGTTTTGATACCATAACAGATGTACTATTACCTCTGTTATTTGGTTTAGTGATCTTCATTGTTATTTTTACCTTCAATATGTCCTTTTAACTTGACCTAAGTAGTTTATTTTCTCGCCTATTAACTCTTTATTAATTTCATATATTCAGAACAAAATATTTAGAGCGAACAATTGTTTTCAATAAATTCTTCTTCAGGCTCTACAGTTATAAATCCATTAATTTAAGCATAAAATAGCCAGTAAAGGCAAATTAGAATCATATCAGAAAGTGTATTGTGGGACAAGTATAAGATGGGATGGAACAATGTTCTGAATAAATTATGGGAATATTCGATTTCATATATATTCCTATGACAAGTCCGTGGGTGTGATCAGATTGTTTGACATGTGTTGTGCGCGCAAATACATTACACGATTCAGTTATAAACCATCTAGTGTTATAAACTAAAAAGCAGATCAAACTGTTTTGAGTGGTTTCTCTCATTTTGTAAGGAAACCTCATCTCCCCCTCTCTCTCTCCATCAAATATCCAATCTCTTTTGAGTCAGTAATTCACAAAAAGAAATAAGCAATCCGCTTAGGTGCTATGTGGCTGTGTGTGTGTGTGAAAGTGCTTCAAGCGATAAAAAAAACAACAGTCATTGACCTCACTTTTTATAAGTGTATCTATGTCTGTTGATAAACACAATATAATGTTATGTACGAAAGTTTGTTTTTAGAGAATGGTGCACTGCAGGTAATGGCTTGTCTAGTGGTGTCACTTGATGAATTGTTTCCTCAGAGTATGGCCAGCCAATCCACCTCCATTTCTTCCTGCCTATTTGTTTCACAATCGGTTCCTGCTGAGTTGGTTCGCTCATTGCCAGATATCTCTGTTGCTGATCTCTTCTCGCCGGCCATCTGATCTTGAGCGAAGTATTGAGCGAAGACAACTGTTAATGAAAGTCTGTAGTTTGTTTGAGATGCTCTTTATGACGCGCCAAGTCTCTGATACTAATTTAAAATAACACGATTTAATGAATTCGTCAAATATCGATATAACTTTTAAACTGGATACACTCAACGTGTAAGGATTCCTAGTTGAAAAACACCTAAACGTGGTTTAGCCGGTAGCTAAACTCTGATGAAATGAACTTTGTTAAATATGCGAATGATCTAACTATTTCAATGTCTGTTAATTCAAAGCTAGACTGTACTAAGATGAACAGCTTTCTATCAGAAGTCAGCAAATGGTCCTTGTCTTATGGTCTTGAACTAAATCCTTCCAAGTATCAGACTGTTAATTTCAGTTTCCAATGTAAAAGAAAGTTAAATGCAGTTGTTGGTTCCTATGACAGTTGCAAAATTGATGATAGTGGTGCAGAAATCAAGCTTGAAGTTAAGTATCATGGATTAATTCTTTCTTCTGACCTATCCTGGTCTTCCGATGTTTTAGCGATTTCTAAAAGAATATTTCGTCTGACACTCAGGCATAACCCAACCCCTCCTCTTACAGTTTGTCAACCCGTGCATCTTACTTATTCTTCTTTACTGTCCACCCTTACTCTTTCCTGGATTGCTTACAAAAGACTATGTCATACTTCGTAGAACTCTGAAGACTGTCAGTAGGGTGAGTGTTATCCCATTGGGCCATATCGTTGACATTATCACTGATAGGCACTTGATGTCATGCAACAAATTCGCTAAAAGAATTTTATCAGACTCTGAGCACCCACTCTACCAGCAGCTCCAACCTTGTGTCTCCTCAGGTAAAACACGAAGTCTTTTCAGAAGAATTTATGCACGTACGTCGAAGTATAAAAATTCCACTATACCATATTTGGCACGTACTTTATGTGATGAAAATATTGTTAGACATGAACTAACTAACCTTCTTTGCACTACTAAATAAACCATTTCCTCCACCCATATAACATCAGGCCTTGTCGTTATTGTACTTCTCATATTTATAATCCTCTCAAATTTTTGTTTTTATTTTTTTCATAAGTGTGAACATCATTTAAGCTGTATTATGACTGTTAATTTTGTATTTCCCCTCACCATACTATTTCAACAGAACATTAGATTCAATAATCTACAACATGCTAAAATTTCCAACCTCAATCGAAAATACTGTTTGAAACAAACTCACTATTATTATTATTATTATTATTATTATTATTATTATTATTACATTTAATATTCTCAAATGACAAATGCTGAGAATTCCATTCTGTATTATAAGTACTGTTTATTGAATAAAGTAGATTATTATGATTATTATTATTAAGAGGGAAGTTTGGACGTGAAGCTGGCAATCTTATCCCGTAAAAAAGACCACCACTTCTACTGAAACTTCAAAGTTCTAGTTTGAAGCCGTATGTTCCATTGGGAACGCCAAGGAATTAAATTAAAGCAAATAAATAAGTGAGAATACATGACCGATCTCATTTCTTGTGTATAATATGAAAGATACTTTTACCTGCAGTGCACCATTCTCTAAAAACAAACTTTCGTACATAACATTATATTGTGTTTATCAACAGACATAGATACACTTATAAAAAGTGAGGTCAATGACTGTTGTTGTTTTTTTGTCGCCTGAAGCACTTTCACACACACACACAGCCACAAAGCACCTAAACGAAATGCTTATTTCTTTTTGTGAATTACTGACTCAAAAGGGATTGGATATTTGATGGAGAGAGAGGGGGAGATGAGGTTTCTTTAGCAAAGCCGAGAAACCATTCAAAACAGTTTGATTTGCTTTTTAGTTTATAACACTAGATGGATTATAACTGATAAAATAATTAGTAAAAGAGATAAATCAATGCTAAACGAACACATTGTTTGACGATGATACTAATAATTAATAATAATGATAATATCTCAATTACCCAGTACCGTGCTCTATAAGCCATATATACTGTGTGTGTATGTGTGTGGTTGAGCTAATGGTGCTACTCAGCTGCTCAGGCTAAAGTAGGTGGAGCGGGATTCGACCTCGGAACTCGTTGAATGAAAGTCGAGTGCATAAGTCAATGTACCCCATCACTTAATAGTATGCACATATTTTGTACACTTAATGATTGACAGCAAACATATAGAACTGTGCACAGAGTTCATTGGAGCAGCATTATTTCACAGGAGCGAATCTCATGTTAAACTTTCGAAGATTTCTGCACAAGGTATTCAGAAGACTGTACATTTTGTCAGGATCATTGCCTAGTGGGACAATTTCACCTGCATACTCTAAGCTCATAAGACTGTTCACACTGGTAATAACTCAGTGGCTATGGCCCTGTGGTCGATTCCAGTTACATACGTTAGTTCTTCATTTGATGAAATTAAACATATTAAGGGACAGTATGGGTATCACTTCAATTGACAGCTCCTCATAAGCTCTTAAACAGCTGCATTTCTCAACTCCCACTCCTGTTATTTATCCACGAATATACAGATTAATAGAAAAGAAGAAAATGTTTTCCCTAGTTGTAAGAACCTTTCTGTTTCTTTTTTCTGTAACATTTAATTTATGTAGAAGACATGTGTTTCAAGCAACATGACACTCAAGAAACTGAGCATTATTCACATAAAATGTAGAAACTGAACAACAATTGAATGTAAGTGTTACAACTTACTCTGAGTACTTCTTTATTTACAACCGGTTCATAGACACCATCACTGTTTAAATATTTTGTACTTGTATCAATATTTTCATCATTTGATGTAGACGTCGGTGTTGGTGTAACACTAGCTCGTCGAACTACACCAGGCGTTGAACAGACATTACCATTTTTGCATAAATGTTTTAACCCAACTATTTTCAATATTTCCACTTCTTTATCTGATTGTGGCTGGTAGAGAATATCAGCAGCAACACGAGCTATATCCTCACGAAGTGCGGCGTGTTGAGCAGCTAATGGTGTATACACAGAATTTAATTCATCATGAAGTTTTGTTAACTTTTCAATACTTTCTTGATCTGGTAATGTTTGAATAGACGCTGAACAAGTGAATAAAATGAGAATAGAAAAAATTATGTATTATAGAATAGAGGTATATTGAGATATACATTTATGTGAATTCTCATTTCATACAATTGGTTCCCTTGATAAATTTCGATGAAGAAAGGAAGACAAAATTTGCAGGGTAAAATGATATCATTCTATTTCACAGGTTCTCATCAGCTGCAGACTACCTGAAATTACAATGGTTATATAAATGATAATAACATACTTTAATGTTTGAGTAGTAGTAGAGAAGAGATAAACTGACGCATCCAAAGAAAAAGAATGAAAGCATTGCAATTTTTAGTTTAAGTTATCATCAGCAATTTATACACTTTCAGAGTTGAAAAGAGGGGGAGGGTTAAGACAGAAAACAGAAAAATTGACTAACAGAAACAGTGTTATCTTGTAGGCCCACATGGCAACTCCAAAAAACAAAGGCGATTACAGTTTATGAGATTAAGATTTGTTCAGTGCGTTTATGAATTTACGTGCACTTGCGGGAGCAAGTACATTGGAAGGACAGAAAGAAGGGCTTCTATTAGGTTTTCTGAACATATTCCAAGAAACCTATGCCTGAAAGGAAGCAAATATTCTCAGAGTGTAATTGCTAGACATATTGTTGATACCGGACATCTCGTAGAGATTTCTAAGTCCTTCAAAATATTAAACAGACAAAGGACAGCAAATTTACTACGATTTGCCAAAGCGATCGCAATCAAACGATTTAAATCAACCAGACTTATGCATACAGAAAGAGAGTGTGATTAACTTCTCACTCCCTTGGTAACTGAATTTTGATTTTGATTACAATAATTAGTCATCTAATTCAGTGATCTCAACTCACTGAACAAATCTTAATCTCATAAACTGTAACCGCCTTTGCTTTTTGGAGTTGCCATGTGGGCCTACAAGATAACACTGTTTCTGTTAGTCAATTTTTCTGTTTTCTGTCTTAACCCTCCCCCTCTTTTCAACTCTGAAAGTGTATAAATTGCTGATGATAACTTAAACTAAAAATTGCAATGCTTTCATTCTTTTTCTTTGGATGCGTCAGTTTATCTCTTCTCTACTACTACTCAAACATTAAAGTATGTTATTATCATTTATATAACCATTGTAATTTCAGGTAGTCTGCAGCTGATGAGAACCTGTGAAATAGAATGAATTCTCATTGTCTAGTCATTCACAGTCAACAAGAGATGTCATAAAGTTCTTCATTGTAGTCACTGAAACACTGTGGAGTAAATTTTTAAAAAAATAGTTTCGACACTTCACATATGGAATAAATAAACTAGACAGAATAAGTATGTTACATATGCAGACTGAAGTTGAACCTCCCGTCTTTACTGGGCTTACTCTACGCTGCATCCTCCTTTATAGCTAGCTAGCTATAAGACTTGGCCATTATTGACAGTAGAAGACACGAAAAGGCTGGCTAGTTGTCTTTGATCATAGGTGCCTGCATTCCATCTCCCGTGTCAAGTGGTATAATAGGGTGACTAATATTGAGGTTAGGCGTCGAGTGCTAGGTAAGGAGGGGAAATCAATCGACGAGGCTGTGAAGCTACATCGAATGAGATGGTTAGGATATGTGTTACGCATGCATCTCTAGCCATCGATCGCCTTCGTCGACTGACGGGCAATGTTAGCTGACATAGGGCCAGTGGTGATCAAACCAAAACATGGCTTCATCAGTCAGTGAAATCCACAACAGTTAGTTTAAGCCACGTAGGAAGTTGTAGACTTCCTGATTGGGTTTCTCTGAACGGTAACGGATGGAAACAATCGGTGATATGGCTGAAAATCGTTCTCAACGGCTGGTGCAGAAGCATCCACTCCTTGTGACTTACAATTTTTCCAATAAAACTATATTGTTCTTCCTTATTACTATTCCTTTTGCCTCATATCTCTCTTTACTGTCTCTATTTTGCATTTCTTTTCTTACTTTCTTCTCTTTCTTTGTGTGCTACATGAAGTGTGGCGATTCGAACTAGTGCACATCGGTGCAAAGTTCTACGTTGATACCAGTCAGTCAAACAGTATGAATGTAAAATTAGTCGCCCAAGCATAATTGCTTCTAGTCTATTCCCAACAAGATGCTTGCTGATAGAGTTGTGTATAGAGAGAGAGAGAGGTTAGTCTGACATTAAAATAATATTCGCCAGTTTATTGAATCTGTCGAAGTGTCTGTGCACAAGAGTTTTACGGTTAATTTAACAACACCGCAGCCCACAATTTCCCTACCCACATCTTTTAGTGCTCTCTGTAATGTAACAAAGTCTGTCTCAAGTATCCCAAGGAAGATTAAGAGGGAATAGTAAAGAAGAATAGGTATAAAACACAAGAATTAAGTAACTATAAAAGTGTACCCTGAGTAACTTCTTTACGCAGACGAAATATCATTCTATAAATCAAGATGATGTGTAAAGAACAGGAAAGATTAGACGAAAGATATTAATAATCCAAGGTATTGAACACTCAACTTAGTTTCAACTTCACTGCCATCTATGATACAAGAATCATAGGAATGAACCAATTCATCTAAAAAATCATGTCTGTGTCATTTGGAGGGATTTAGCTAAAAAAAACACCATCTGACAAGGTCTACTGACGAATAATTTCTGATAAAAAGGCTATTTACAGGTTGAAGAGTTTACTCAAGTGTTCTTTCGCCACTTACTTTTTGTCACACATATAACTACCCTTGAATGAATGAATATACGACACCAAAAAAACAACACCTACTGCATATAAAATATCTAGATAAAGGCTATATATTGTTTAATTGAAGTATCGATTTATTTAAGAAATCAATAAATATTAGATCAATGTATCAAGATATCCTTATCTACTACTAATTTGGAATCAAATTATTTTTATCATGAAAAGAAACGAAAACAAAAACATCATATTTATGAAACAGTATACCAAAAGTATGCACGATAATCAGGAGGAAAATAGAAAGTTTAAAAAAAATTACAACACTGGCGTAAACACTCTGATTAGCTATTGAAAGTCAATAATCATGCATATGATAAGGAAAAAATAGAATGATCGACAATTTAGACTGATCTGTATCGTGATCAGAAATCAATAAAAGTGATACGTAGTCTAGTCACAAAGTTTCGTAATTTAAACGATCTAATCCTTACAAACCAACTATTTAAAATTAATCTGATGCTCCCTGGTGACTTGTTGCAGGACGGAGTTTCCTGGAGTTCTAGTGAGAAGTCGTGACCAGTGAGGTCCAACCAGTCAAGCGTGAGGATGGATGTCCCACCGATGACATTGGTTGGTGGTCGCGCTAAATTACGAATTGGTAGAAACCATGGACTGGCTATTGAATCGGGTCCCAGTGGTCGAATGGTATACGAGCTTGCCTTGCAACCGGAACGTCCTGGGTTCGAACCCGCTGTGGTGGGTGCGTACAATCAATGATGAAACAGCTGGCCAGTTCTCCCTGGTTTTCAATGGTTCTCTAACTGATATCAATCCGTAGTCAAACTCGTAAAAACAAATTAAAAAAGCCTAAGAGTTGACTGGTTACTCACTGGTGGGATACACTTTGAAAATATTCTCTGCTATTGTGAAGAAAAATATTATCCGACTTAACGTCGACTCACAGCAGTCCTCTCTAGCTGGCTCAATAATTGTACATAAGTTATCATCTACCCCTGACATAGCTTCCTTCATGTTACCATCGGAATCAAGCCAAACTTTTCGTTTCGCATTCAGACTAGACGCAATGCCACATAGATAATTGAAGGAAGCGACCTCTTTCAAATTTACGCAATTGATATTGATTTGTGCTTATTGTTGATTGGTTATCTTAATCACGTTCGTCTTCTCAATGGCCACATGAATTCTTGTCTTCACTGCTTCCACTGTCAGTTTGTTGCTTTTCGACGTAAGTCTTCGAATTTACGAGACATTAGATATAAGCCTTCCACTAGAACCTTCTTCCAGAGTTTTTCTATGGGTACAAAGTATTCCTATCTCCTCGTTCTCCACAGTCTGCCGCCTTATAATCCACTTCACCACAATCAAGAATATCATCGGTGATAATAAGAGGTCTTGTCTGACTCTTACATTCACTTCAAACACCTTGCTGAGTTTTCCGTTGTGCATCACCTGACACATGCCAGTGTTGTATAGCTGTTGAATGAGGTTATTAAATACCTGGGTCACTACAGATTACTTCGCAATCAACGCTGTCGAAGGCCCCTTCAAAGTCGATGTATCTGAGACAGAGGTTTGACTGCCATTCAATGCTTTGTTCGATGATGATGCGTAGAGTTGCAATTCGATCCACACAACGTTTGCTTTTCATGAATCTAGTTTGTTCCGGTGGGTGGACTACTGCGTCCAGTGAATCCTTTATTCGTGCTCCAGGGTAACGCAACTTAATAGTTAACTTGGCGTGGATAACAGCATGATTCCACGCCAGTTCTTGCACAGAACTAAGTCTCCCTTCTTCGGTAGTTTTACCTGGTAGCCAATCGTCCGGTCAGTAGGCACCTTTCCTACCTTCCAAAAATTTTGCAATAGTGGCGTCAGTAAATCCACTGTAGTCTTTTGGTCCTTTCTCAGTGCATCAATAGGAATTCTATCTGATCCTGCTGCCTTCCCAATCAGCCTTCAGTAGCATCATTATATCCAAGACTTCTGCTTCTGTTGGGGGAATGGTGTTCACTGGCAGTTCTGGTAATTCTGGACGAGTTGAAGGTGATGATCGATTCAAGAAACTTTTGAAGTGATCAAACGATTGTTTTCTTTGTTTCTCTTCTTTGGTAATTAGATTAACTTGACTACCTTCCCTGAGTTTCGTCTATGCTTCATCTCTTCGCGGATAACTATACATCTACATATAAGTAATTCGCCGGATAGTAATTAGCAGTAGAATGCACTTGCACCTTAATGGTCTAGTGGATAACTCCTCGGCGTCTGTAATGATGTGTAGTGGGCTCGAGTTTCAGTAAGAACACCATCACTCACTCAGTGGGTGGGTGTATCCGGATGTATCCAGCTAACGATACACAAATGCGATGAAATAAGCATACCGGATTCCACTGCTAGTGACCATCGATCAAAATAACTTCACGTTAATCCTCAGACATTGTCGAAGCGTCCGTATTCAGAGTTGACATGTCAATAGAGACCAAACATTTCAGTCCAATCCATCGACGCGGAAATCACAAATGACTTCAAAGGTGAAAGGCAGCTTCATTATCTATTTAAATCCTTCAACAGCATCTTCAAATCATGATCAACAATGAAAATGACCTGGAAATTTGTCTACATCATGCCTCCACTTATAGCATGCAGAACAATCGGAATGGTGAACAATTCGGAAAGTGGGTCGCCATGTACCCACACTGCCAAAGAGTACCAAAATGAGACGAACCAGCTGTCACTGCACTCTCTGGATTTCAATACTTCTTCAACTAATATTTTACTCTTGATAAAATTTGAATCACCACTAAAACGCTAAATGTGGAGAACAATATAGACTAATTCACTGACTGACTGACTGGTTTCAACAGAGAACTTTGAACTGAAGTGAAGTCGCCACACTCCATGTATCACGACGGGAAACAAAAGAAAGAAAACGAGGAGATTCAAAAGAACAATTATGAGCAGACATGTGAAGAAGAGGAAGAAAAAGGAATAGTAGCATACAGAGTGAATGCATCTGCTCCAGTCATTGAGAACGATGTTGAGCCCTATCACCAATTGTCTCCAATCGTCATTCGTTCTTACCGTCTCGAAGACCCCACCCAACCAGATAGCCTACACCTTATGTGGCTGGCTCAAACTAACTGTTAGAGATTTCATAGGCTGCTTCCATGCTTTCGTTTGACCACCACAAGCAATCTTTCACTCTAATATTATGTTAGCTAACATTGCCCATCGAGGAAGGCGATGTCTAGGCATGAGTAACGCATGTCACAGCCATCGTAATCGATATAACTAAACAACTTCATCCACTGAATTTTCCTTTTTTAACTAGCACTCAATGCTTAACCTCAATATTACTCACCCTATTATACCACCTAACACGGGAGAATGAATGCAAACACCTATGATGAAAGACAGTCAGTCAGTCTTTTCATACCTTTCACTTCCGATGATTATGCCTCACAACCATAAACAAGGGAGGCAGGTGAACTTCTGAGCATCACACAGGTCTTTTGATCAATATTCGGATATTATGTGGAACAATATAGAGTTTTCGTAAGTTATTACCGTCTGAATATCATACACATACATACAAAAATTAGATAAAAAGGATACAACTTACAAATTATTGAAGGATCAAATTTTTCTGGTTCACTAGAATTGTTGTTGTTATTATTATTATCATCAATATTACTATCATTAGGGTCTATACCATTTGATTGATTAGTAAATTTAGTAATTGGTGGAAATGTAGTATGAAAATCGGTGTCAAGGTTTTGTTTTGTAATCTCACTCAGATGATCCCCATCACCAAGTAAATTATTCAATCGTAATATTTTTGATCTTAACCAAAAGTAACGTTCACAACGAGCACTTTTCTGTTGAACAAGCTCTTCAGCTTTATCATTTAATGACTTTAAAGAAAAGAAGAAAAAAGGGAGAGAGAGAGAGATTAAAGAAAAGTAGACAGATGTAAAATACTCATAACCTGAAGAAACAGCACACTGAGTAGTAATCAGAAAAGGTAATTATTAAAGAACATTTTTGTCGCATACTACATAGCTGAAGTTCACTTCAATCGGCGTCGGTGGCATAGCGGTTAGGACGCTCGCCAACCATGCACATGGTCCGGGGTTCGATCCCCGGCCGGCGCACTCCTTTACCTCACTAAGCTAGCTAAACTGCTGGTAAAGAGGAAAGGTTGGGCATGAGGCTAACAACCCCATCCTGTAAAATAAACACTGCTACAGAAACTTCAAGCCACTAGCTTGAAGCCCTATGTTCCACTGGGAACGTGAAGGAATACAAAAAAACAAAAAAAGAAGTTCACTTCAAACTGGTGTTAGCGGAAGTGTGGTGGAGGAGGTCTGGCACCATCGCGACTCCAGTTTGACTGTCAAAGGTCAGGTCCAAAAAGCATCGATGGACGTAGTCTCACCATAAGCCCGTAAAACGTGGCCTCTCCAAGCTAAGGATGTGCGGCGACTCTGAGTATTCAGTCGTCACCGCCTCCGTAGAATTTTCTGCGTCCGACGACATCATTTTATGAGTAATTCTAAGTATGTGTTTGAACAAGGTGAAGATCAAGTGTTGTCATCTGAAGAGAGCAGCTCAAGTGACTTGGAAATGTGCTATGATATTTTGATTGGACACTAGTAACTAGTGTGATGTGTCTAGTCCTTTCTTTGGTGTAGACTGAATTCCATCAGTCAGGTTTGTAATGTGGCCACCATTCTAGAAAGTTCGCCATCACGGTGCATATTGATTTGATGATATTAGATGGTTGTAGGCAATCGGACACAGGAAGCCTTGGATCTAGGTTTCGTGCCAGTTGGCACTAAAGTCCTACAAGATCTCAGTGGTAACGTCTCTGACTGCAGGCGGCACTTGGTGGTGCGGGTTCGAATCTCAGAAGAGACATGAGTTGCTTCAAGGTTGCAGATACGCCTTGATGGCGAGTGCCAACTAGCACCAAACCTATATCAAAGGCTTTCTGTGGCCGATTGCCTCTAACCATCTAATATCATTAAATGTGCTATGAGCTCATCCCAGAGGCTTTCCTACCAGTCGCTAATCGCTAACCCTGGGAGTGGACGAAGAAGGCGGAGAGGTGACCAGTCTATGACGTAATGCTATGGGATGAAGGATATTTATGTTAACTTAGCATCAGTTGGCACATCACGATTCCCTGGTCGGGTTCTGAGAGATACTTCGAACTGGTGGGTTGAGACGTTGTCAAATATAGCCAAGAATAGCAAGGTCATATTTAAAAACAACTGATCTCTAACGAATTCTAGATGAAAATTAACCTACAGAGAATTTCCTCTCCAAAAAACACCTACGCTTTAATTTTCCTTAATATATATAAAGATTGAAACAAAAAAGGAACACGGAATAAAGAAGGATAGCGAAGTTGTTATGTAAATTATGTGGTAAAATCAGGATCATGGTAACGAAACAGATTGTACAAATTTTTTTTGTACACAAAATTCTAGCTTTAAATAATATCACAGCAAGAAAGCCATCATCACTATTCAGTGCCAAGTAAAGTACTCAAGATTTTCCATTGAATTTGGTAAAAATCAAGGACACTGGTCAATGATTCCCAATTTACTGTGAATTCATAAGGAAATTAATTAAGGGTTTAACAGGCAAGCAGGTAAATAAGCTAATCTGATCACGGTAATAATAATAATAATAGTTAACTTATATTTGAAATCAATAATATTGATTTTCACATGCGGAAGTCAAAACAAATATAAGTATCATCTGACATGAAATGTATATACATGGAATGTTGTTTTTCCAGTGGTGAAAAACTGAACGATGGTAAATGATAGAGGTTGACAAGTTTATTAAAAGCAGAAAATCCTTGAAACGTGGGAAGAGATGGTGAAGATGGTAGTGGCGTAGCACCAAAAGATGGACCACAGGCACCGGTAAGATTGGTGGAAGTGAATAATAAATTGACGGTAACATTTAAGTGCTCTAATGATGAATACATGGAAGGGAGATGGCATCATAGTCAATGATGCTACAGCAGGTATTCCCCATCGATCTCACTGATATAACTGAATAACCCATATTGCCTGTAAGTAAAGTAGGTGGGGGATTATGTAATTCAAATATTGATAAGATGCAGATTTCCCTTCAGTCACCGAGAGTTTCACTCATCTCACAGACGAATATGTCTTGTTTGAAGAGTAAACACAAAGATTCAATAATACAGATATGCGACGCTTTCACGAGGAAAGATAGTTTAATAAGTGAGAGTTGGAAAACGTGTCACTTCAGTAGGTTTACCGCATTCGATGCTCCAACTGAAAAAGCGAGTGTACAGGCACTGCATCCTGACCATTTTAGGAGAAGCACTTTACACATCAACGGTACAAGGTACATTTGATTCAGATAATGACCACCGGCACATGATCATGATTTGCGCAACTTCCATCACGCCAACAAACGAGAAAGAATAGTTTTTGTTCAGGTTGCAGATCTACAATACCACTAAAACACATATTCTTCTTAGCTGTTTTCAACGAAATTTCATTCTTGACAAGAGATGGAACAATTAAAACATTGTCCACCGGTAGTCGCACTATGTAGACTGCAAGCTGAGAGAATTTGGAATTAACGGATCATTGGCCTCGCCTCCAAATGAGACGGTCGCTGGGTTCGGTCCTCGGTGAGATCATGCGCGCATACTGATGAAGGACAAAACAGATATCTAGTAATTCTTGGTTTCTAGTGGTTCTCTAACCTGCAACCAGTCAAATTTCTGCAAACCGACACCTGCCTACTTCTAGACTTCTCAAAAATACCGTTCACCAGCGAAAAGTTTCCAGAAAATAGATCTGCCCAACAAACCGAGCAGTAGCACTAAGTAACACAAGAAAAAACATAAATGATGAAATGAAACTGATAGAAGAGGCGTTGGTGTTAAATAACTATCCCATAAAATTCATTAGGAAGATCGAAAAAGGCCATAAGCAAAATAAAAATAATTGTGAAACTAGTAATGATAGCACAAATAAGAGAGAATATAAGTCATCTACTGATATAACATATAAGGAGGGGACATCTGAGACCCTACGTAGGATTCTTAATAAAGCAGGAATTAGGGTGGCATTCAAACCTACAAACTCACTCAGAGACGAGCTCTGTAGGCTAGTGGATAACACTTCGTGCGTCGGTGGCACAGCGGTAGAATGCTCGCCAACCACGCCTCAGGTGGTCCGGGGTTCGATCGCCGGCCACAGACGAACTCCTTTGCCTCGCTAAACCGAGTAACACGACTGGTAAAGAGGGAAGGTTGGGTATGAGGCTAACAACCCTATCCCGTAAAAAGAAATGCCACTGCTACCGAAACTTCAAGCCTCTAGCTTGAAGCCCTATGTTCCACTGGGGATGTAAAGGAATAAAAAAATAAAGTATAAAGATTTTTACTCCAGTTTCTCCTACTTAAAAGGAAACGAAAGAATTCACCATACAAGCACGTTTTCTTTATTTGACAAAAAAAGATTTGTCAAAAAAAGTGAAGCATCAAATGCAAATAGAGTTCAAATAGCAACTGTAGCCAAAGTCCTACTCAACAAATAAGCATATATGGAGAAGATAAAGATGAGCCCGAGGAATCGTTGTCATGCTTAATTTTTGATTATAGCTTGAAACCACACAGTATTTTTGGTAGAAGTATGGAATTTTCAGCATGTGATATCAGTAGCCCAAATTTTGCAGACCGACCATTGATATCAGGTGCGCGCCGGTAGGGGGATCGAACCCCGGACCATATGCATGGTCGACGAGAGTCCTAACCGCTGTGCCACCGACGCACAATTAGCCCCGTGAGGGGCTGCCAAATAATGCTTCGATTCTTGGTCGACGGTTCTTACCATGCAATAAATCACAAGAGTAAAACCATGACGGTTCAGTTACCAACCAATGATCCCATGCTACTCTTTGGGGGGAGGGGGGGCGGAGCACAAAGATGCGCAAATTATCTTCTGCAATCAAGAACTAACAAAAAAGATGGGAGGGTGGACTAGCTTTCTTTGTTTCATGTAAAATCATCATTTATGCATGCAGTGATATGATAACGTGACTGGACAGTTATTGATTGGTGTTCATTTTTGGTTTGAATTCCTGAGATTTTGTAAACTATACACACCATATATTCTGGATAATAAAACATCGTCGTTTTTAACACAGTTGACTGACTTTTGTGTTTATCTTAGAGTCGGGAATAGTTTCAAGTGGTCAGTTGGTTATAGGGTTTTGTGTTTATAGGCGCCATTCTAGAAACCTTAGTAACGCCCCATCATAAAACAACAACTCTGGATACTTTGTCCTTCATTTCATGTTACTTATTTAATTCCCTTCATAATATTACACCTCTTTGTACCTCATTTTCTACTGCAACGACTTTATAGGTTAAATTTATATGCATAGAAAAACAGTATTTTTCAAGAAATAGTACACACCATAACACAATTACTTTATTGATACACTTCTACAGTCGGATAGTTATTGCCTTAATAATTTGTAGATAAAATACCAGCCATGATAACAATAAGAGCACCATCATTACACGGGGGGTTTATGCACCAAATTGTTGAACAGGTCCAATGTACAACAACATATCATGATACTATTGAGTGAATTTAACTTCAATCAAATTCATGATAGCTCACGATTTACGCAGTGTTAAGCGAAAATACATGTGAACGTAAGATCAGTATACACACACAGAATGTCTTTATTTATGTTTCAAATACAAGAAAGGCAGAATTCAATGTAATATTTCAATTTCTCTTCAGCATTTTTCACTACTCCTTGAGTTCAGAGTGATACATGAGACTTCAAGTTGTACACAGCCTGCCCTAAACTTCAGCTACCGAACCACACACCCTCATCATTATATTGCATCTGATTTTTCTTGCTCACTTCGTTTTAATCTAATAAAATATAACTTCTAATACTCTGGCGAGTATTAGAAACATTTACAACTGTTTTTATTGGACACTAGTCACTGACTAGTCTTACAGGAGTTTAGTCAGGAGCTCGAATAACTGAATATTTCAGAACATGAGTGCAGTACTGGGTGACGCGGGTTCGAATCTCTCAAGTTTGCAGATACGCCTTGCTGACGAGTGCCAACTAGCACGAAACCTAGGTCCAAGGCTTCCTGTGGCCGATTGCCCCCAACCACCTAATATCATCACAAACTATGTACACCGTGATGGCGAGCTACCTAGAATGGTGGCCACATTACAACCTGACTGATAGAATTCAGTCTGCACCAAAGAGAGGACTAGACGCATCACACTAGTTACTAGTGTCAAACCAAAAATATAAACATCTCATACATTTACAACCTGCTAGTTATCTAGTTTCTACTAAACTTAAGCAAAACCATAATCCCAATATATGAGATAACTTTTCCTGATTTATAATCCTTGGGTTTCAAAATGTACGCCTGGACTTTTTACAGTAGTAATCGGCTTTCAACCAAATGTTGTGTATTTCTTAAAAGAAATAAAGAAGAGGATATCATAAGGAATCGGTCTACGCTTCACGTCAGATAGCATTGTGTCACACGACCTACTTTATTCCTGAAGATCTTGGACGAAAAGAAAATATCATGCAATAAGTTCTGCTGGAAATTCTGTGCATTATATAAACACACTTATTATTATTATTATTATTCTCTTTAGTTCCTAGGGGAATATAGGGCTTCAGCCACACGTCTCCATTGCATTTGGTTTTCCGCCAACTGTTTCACCTCGCCCTACGTCTGCCCACATGCTTTCATCTTCTCTTCACATGACCCCCTCCTCCATGTCACTCTCACATTGACGACCAATTCGCTGCTTCCCGATCGGGTTCCACTCAAGCGATAGTCTATCGTGTGATGTCACTTGATGGTTTCGCATGGAGGATTTCATCATAAGCTGACATCAGTTAGAGAACCACTGGAAAACCTGGGAGTAATGGACAGCTGTTTCATCCTAGCTATGTCGTGAATTGGGAGAAGTTAGAATTCAAGGACCATTGGATCGGGTCCCAGTGGCTCAATGATCTACGAGCTCGCCTTGTAACCAGAAGGTCCTGGGTTCGAATCCCGATGGGCGTGCACTGATGAAGAGTCCCAAACTAGGATGAAACAGTTGTCCAGTACTCCAAGGTTTTCCAGTGGTTCTCTAACTGATGTCAGCTCATGATGAAATCCTCCATGCGATCAAACAAAATCCCTACAAAACCCATACTTGAAACTCAATGGTTTCCTCAGAGTGTGAACAATCCACCTCCACCTTCTTCCTGCATATTTGTTGCACAATCGGTTACTGGTCGGTTCGCTCACAAACACACACGCACACACTGTCCAGACAAAAAATTATTACTATTATTATTATCATTATAATTATTCAATTTTCAGTAGAGGTGATTTTGGGCTGCTGGCCCCACATCCAACCGTCCCACTTTCTCAACCCTACTACCACCAACTAGGCGAGGTTTAAGAACACATCAGCCGAGAATAAAAAAACTCTAACCGCCCGTGTGATTGGGATGCATTTTACCACACTGACACACTCTCTTTTCAGTATATGTAATACGCCTTGAATCGTACACATTCTCTGAGTTGACAATATTTTAATGAAAAAATAATAATAACAACAATGATGACGATCGATTTCAGAGCAGCCGAAAAACAAAACGTTTAACACACTGAATTTAATAAAGGTGAATTAATTATTAAAAACAATATTTGAATATGTTTCATTTATACTAAAAATGTCCTAATAATTATATATAGATATATATATTAAGGACACAGTGTGAGCTGAGTTTGGTTGTTTTTTCTCCAAACACTAAAAATCAATTAGCAGGGCAGTCCTAACAACAATAATAATAACAATAACAATGAAAAATTTAAAAAATTATAAACCGATAATTCAATTCCAATCAATTCAATACATACTTGCATCAATTCACTTGAAGTAAGTCCACGTTCAGGTAGAAATGGTGCCAAGCCTAATTGTTGACACATATCAGCTATTTCACGACGTCTTAATTCAATTTTCTGTTCCATAGCTAATCGTGCTGAATTCTCTTCTTTAATTACTTCACATAGAACTGTTTGTAATTTTTGGACAAATTGTTGTATACGCTCTGAACGTTCTAATTTATTGAAGCCTAATTTAGGGGATTGGGAAAATAAAAGTATACGTTCATTGATTGCATTTAACAATTGCATATATGCATATATATATATATATATATATATATATATTCACTAATCAGAAGAAATTCTGCTAGTAAGCAGTACATTTAGATGAAGACAGGTGATACTAACCAGTAGATTTCATAAAACAAACAAGAGAAGTTCTTCAACAACTGCCACCCTGCGATTCAGTTCACACTAGAGAAAGAGTCTAACTCAAAGATATCTTTTCTTGACGTTCAACTAACGAGACGCCAAAGAGACGGGACATTAAAAAGATCCATCTACAGAAAGCCAACGTGGAACGGACAGCTCACTAACTTCCACAGTTGGTTACCTCTATATACTAAACGAAACTTAATCCGTTCACTAAACCACAGAATACGTAGAATTTGCAGCCTGGACGCCATAGAAGATGAAATGAACACTCTTAAGAATATCCTCCTTAAAAATGGCTATCCAGAAAGATTTATCACAAAATCAATGAAACCCAGACCAGAGAAGCCGTCCACACCCAGTGCTCCAAAAAGACTTCTCTATATGAACCTACAGTTCAATGGAGACCAATCTACTGAAATACTGAGAAATCGGCTCTCCGGCTCATTGAAGAAAACCTTCTTTGCAGCTGAATTACGACTGACGTTCTCCATGAGACCAATGATTTGTATGAACGTGAAGGATAAGCTACCGCTGTTGGCCTCATCTATGTGCATCTACCAATTCACCTGCTCGTGTGGAGCCAGGTATATCGGCCGTACTCAGCGTTCGCTATCCAAACGCGTCAAAGTACACTTACCTTGAACATTCGATCGACTCTGAACACCAAGTCAAACCAGAAATAAACTTCAAAGTTATCTACAGAATACAAGGCAATCTTGCTAAAAGTGTACGGATCAAACTTCTCCACATCGCAGAAGCAATGGCAATTCATCTGCTAAATCTTGAACTCTGTATACAAAAGAAATTCGTTCATTCATTAAATCTACAATGGACGTAATCTTTCTTAATTTCAGTCTTACTAATTGTATTATTTAGTCATTTGCATTTTATTATTTCACATCTTCATTTATATTATTCTCTACCCCACCCTTTTGTAATCTCTACCCTCATTAACAATGTTACTAACTTGACCCACGATCAATTTCTAGTCAACTGCGTTACGTCATTCGATTAACTTACTTATTTTCAACTGTATTATTCTCTAACCCCACCCTTATTTGATTTTAAACACCACTCATTAACACTGTTGCCAACCTGACTTAATCTGAATTCTACTCACTTAATCAATTCTATTTTATTTTCCATCTTAACGTTTGTTTCCAAGCCAAAAAATACTTATATTACACAATTATCTAAACTTTATAAATCTAATGTACACACACACAAACAAAATTGTATAAATATGCGATTGTACAGCTCAGTGAATAAATTCGCCATAAAGAGTCTAGTCTGCCTACCCTAGGAAGCTGAAATGGTGTATGGACCTGTTTCAGTAACTGGAATCTATGAGAACAGAGCTCTTGACGCTTCTCCAGTGCCTTGTGGAAATGACTTCGAGTCAAAGGCTCCAGAGGTGACCCCTTTGGTCTGATGATCCCTGCAGTATCCTAGCCTTCACACAAACCATCTGGCTTTATATGAAGCACCTCTTGATTCCAATAATATATCAAGTTCATGTTTTAATATTTTAAAAAATGATAAATAAAGTGACGCGGTTCTAAAGAATCGAGGAATTTCATTAAATTATATGTGGCCACTGGGTGGTTACATTCATTTTGAGTTATATAAGTTGTTTTTTTTCTTCTAAATTGGCGGCCTGCTTGAATCGATGAGCCACCCAAAAATTTCCATACAACACACTGTATCATATTTTCCCTAGTTTGTATTGTTTTAAACATTCAGTTATGCCTATGAGTTGCGAAATACACTCATTCAGGCACACTTTTAATCGCTTTTCAAAGTAACTGATGCGTATATCCCGGAGACGAAGGAAACAGGCCATAAAGGATTAGTCTCTGCTTCATTTACAACAGCATTGTGTGATACGATGCACAATAAATAGATAATTTACTTGAACATATCCTGGATAAAGGCAGAATATTATGCAGTTAATAACTCTGAGAATTCCGGACATTGTGTAGACATTTTGTTCAGAATAAAGCCATTAGCATAATAATAATAATAATACTTTTTTCCAGTGTTATAAAATTCTACCTCAAAGTTAAAATGTAACAATTTCTATTGTGACACGAGAGCAAACAACAGACAAGTTTTGAATCAGATTAAGTCTGCTGTCTGTCTGTCTGTTTTCAACATATAACTTTGCATTGATGTGCACCAGTTCGAGTCGCCACACTCCATGCAGCACTCAAAGAAAGAGAAGAAAGTAAAAAGAAATGCAAAATAGAGACAGTAAATAGAGGTATGAGACAAAGGTATAGAAATAACGAAGAACAAAACAGTTTAACTGGAAATCATAAGTCACAAGGAGTGGATGCTTTTGCACCATTGAGAACGATTTTGAGCCATGTCACCGATTGTGTCCAACCATTGGTTTTTACCATCCCGAGAACCCCAACCAACACGTCTACATCTTCCTACGTGGCTTAGACTAACTGTTGTAGATTTCACTGACTGGTGCCATGTTTTAGTTTGACCACTACTAGTTCTTTTCCAACCTGACCCATCCTATGTCAGCTATCATTGCCCGTCAGTCGAGGAAGGCAAGGGCTAGAGATGCATGCGTAACATATGTCCTAACCATCTCACTCAGTCGATGTAGCTTAAAAACCTCGTCGATTGATTTGCCCTCCTTACCTAGCACTCGATCGATGCCTCACCTCAATATTGGTCACCCTATTATACCACTTCACACGGGAGGTAGAACGCAGGCACCTATGATCAGAGGCAGCTAGCCTTTTCATGTCTTCCACACTCTAGGTCTGCTAAACAGGATGCTCTAAACACACACACACACAAACGAATACACTATTCTCTCTCAACTTAGTAAATACAATCTCCTCCACTTGGAAAATATGTTTTAGCTGGTTGAATTTTGACGGAAGCATTTCAGTGATCCCAGACACCTCCTTAAATAGCACAAACTAGTAGTCAAAGAATTCATGAAATGATGCTCTGTTTTCGTCACATTTCAGTTAGCGTCGTTCGTCGAATTAAACGACTGTTTCCTACACATAACACACACACACAAACTCTCCCTCATCGACTAACCAGAACTCTGTAATAATGGAGAAGACTTGTAGCTAAGATGGATGACTTTGATGTAGTTGCATTCCATTGACTTGGTGATTTATTCGCGAAGTTTTCATTGCCTTTCTAGACACCTTAATCAGTGACCAGAATTCTATTTCTCACTTAAACATAACAACCTTCTAATTAGTGAGATACATAGACCTTGTGAATGTTTTTACGATTAACAGTTGTGTATATTAGTCCAAAGTGCGTCGGTAGCACAGCGGTGAGGATGCTCGCCGACCACACACATAGCCCAGAGTTCGATCCCCGGCCGCCAACGCACTCCTTCACCTCGATAAGCCAGTAATCAAAAAAAAGCTGGAAAAGAGGAAAGGTTGGACATGAGGCTAGCAACCCCATCCTGTAAAAATAATCACCATTGCTACAGAAACTTCAAGCCTCTAGCTTAAAGCCCTATGTTCCATTGAGAACGTGAAGGAATACAAAAAAATATTAGTCCAACACCTTATGAATTGTAACTTTTATGCTCCTATCGGTAAGCAATATCACTATAAGAAGCAACCGCTTCACATTCAACCCTACCAATGACTACTGCTGGCTTTTAATTTCACGGCATTCATCCTAATCACAGTTACAAATGAAGGATGTTCAGAATTTGGATGTTGTTACACGACTGGCAGAAATATTCACATACTAAGCAAAAATAAAGACTGTTTCCTTTAGCTTACTGTTAAAAACAAAAAGGAAGTTATACACAGTTTAAAAACACGCCTTACCAACATAATTCCATATACGTAATAATTCTGTTAAGTTAGGTCGCATCGATTGAATAAGTTCCTTCTCCAATTCTTCTGTTTCCATAATTATGATTATTATTATTATTAAATATTATGAAATTAATAACCGCCTAAAATGTTGATTAAAACAAAAATCAATAGAAAAAAATTGGGAAGAATCATAAGAATTCAATAGAATGGAAAATATGGGAATATTTTATAGGAAAAAGCAAATATATGACCTTCAACAAAGCCAATCAAAAATTTCGAAAGGAAAATCAAAATACGATCCAGACAATTTTTTCCCAAATATAGGTGGTCATTAAGGATACATACCTGCATGCTGAAAATTTATTGTATATTTAGTATATGAGAATGTCTCAAAGAGCATGTGTTTCCCCAATAGTTTGGATTGGAATCAACTTACATGCATGAGGTTTTTATACCACGTGTCTGGTGATCCAAAACGGAAAACTCATTGGAACCTTTGAAGGGGAAAATAGGAGTAAGACAAGGCTGACTGCCTACTGTCATCGCTGATATTCCTAATTGTGGTGGACTAGATTGCGCGGAAGACTGTGCGTCAGAAGCGAGAAGCCAGGAATACATTGGGCTGATAAGAAGGCTCTGGATGATCTGGATTTCGCGGATGATTTGTCTCCAATGTCACACAAACTCGAAGACTTGCCGGCGAAAGCCAACAAACAGACAGAAGAAGCAGTTAAGACAGAACTCCAAGGGAACAAAAAGAGGATAGATGATGAAAATAACCAACCAACCAACAACAAACACCAATCACTATCAACAAGCGAAATTTGAAGGTCACTCACTTCACTCATCTAGTCAGCATTGTTTCAACTATAGGAGATAGTACAGATGACGATGTCAAAACCAGAATCGAAAGGGCGAGATAGACCTTGATTACTGTGCAATTGTAACAACAGAAGACAAGGGTCAGGCAACAGATCGTTTATTAAGGAAATCAAAGCATATTTATAGATTTTCATGTACATTATTATAGATTATTGTAAGCAAACAAACAGTCTTATGATTGGTGGTTTCTCGCTGAACGTTAATCTTTCATCTCCTTGTGGCCGTTTATTGAAGTTCAGATTATCTATCTGCAAATTGTATCCACCTACGCAAAGTCTTCTGTGGTTGGTTTTTGAATCAGTCTTTGTTCTTATTTTTCTCACGACCAATATTGGGGACGTAAACATTGACGTAAATTACTGTCTGCCAATTTGGCTAACAGCCAGCTCTCACCACAGAATCAGTGTGGAAATCTTCTGCACTCCGCACAAAAGAACAAAATTCTGATTTTCAACGCCAATGCTAAATCAGTCAGTTCTTCGATATAGGTCAGAAACTTGGCTAGTACGTGACTAGAAACATTTCCAACAGACCAATGCAAACTTTTATCTACAGCTGACTTCGCTCTGTATTGAAGATCAAGTGACCAGAAATAATTATTAACAAGAAACTCTGAGAACGAACCGGTTAAGAACATATCACTCAAAACATATGCCGAAGAAAATGAAGATGGGTTGGACACACACACTGAGAAGATCGTCGAGTGACATGGCATGCCAGGCCAGAGCTCGAGCGGAACTCGAATGAAAAACGATGACACTATATATATATATATATATATATAATATTATAAAGGCACGAACTATTTAAATTCATCCTTACGTACACGTGAAAGTGTCAATCTTGTCTAATACATGGTTATAGACTACGAATGTGATGTAGACCGTCAATCATCAGCTTAATCTCCAATCACATGTAACATTGATGTTGTTTTTCTAGCCATTCAAGCAGGAAAATCAGCTTACATGTCTGCCTATCTGCATGTCTTTAATTTTTCCCTACTAAGCGAAAATCAACAAACTGATTGGAGATGAGGAGTTTTGCTTTGTACAAATAATGCATTAACATTCAAACTATGCAGCAATAATTGATCGAATTCCCTTAAATTCCTATCGTCATTGATCAGAATAATTTAAAGAAATGCTATAGTGATTGACAGGAAAATTTGATTTTGTAATTATTATTAACAAAAACACAGAAAAATATTCACCAATTGTGATTGGTGCAATTACTTGTGTAGGCGGCAGTAATTTTAAAGGCGCTTTATTATTTCACTGACACCTTTGGCTTGCTGCTGACGACGCGTCACAACAGGTTCAAGTGTTGTTCAGCCTGGACATCTGCGTAGTATCGCTCTCAGTTTAGTACATATGGCTAGTCAAAAGCCATACAAGAAGACACGATATTTTCCCCTAATCTATTACGTAAACTGTTCCGTGAACAATATACATAAACCTAATTAAATTCGGTGTCCAATAGGCACATTATAAGGAATAGCAGTAAACGATTTAGTAAATTAGTTGTTTTTCAGTTAGTGGTTAGATTCTCCACATAGACAGAGAGAGAGAGCACTCGGTACCATTTTATTCCAGAAAACAATGAGAAAATTTACTTTTATATATTCAAGAGTTGGTTTGTAGGGATTTGATTGGTTACAGGACTTCATCATGAGCTGACATTAGTTAGAGAACCATTGGAAAACCTGGGAGTACTGGACAACTGTTTCGTCCCAGTTTGGGACTCTTCATCAGTACGTATCCACCGGGATTCGAACCAAAGACCTTCTGGTTACAAGGCGAGCTCGTACACCATTAAGCCACTGGGACCCGATTCAATGGCTCATGAATTCTAACTTCTGCCAATTCACGACATAGCGCGACCCCTAGCCAATGTCTTCGGCGAGTATTTTTCCTCACACCCGACCTGCTGCACTCTACTTTTATATAAACTGAAATCGACTGCCTCTGAATTTTGTTTACTGGACTACAGTAAAAAGTAAAAGGCATATTTATTTCACATTTCACTCACTTTAGTACAGCGGTATACATTCAGTAAAATATATTCCGGAACGCAAATTTTAATATTACCATAGGAAGAGGGACTTTTTGAAGTCCAACTATGGTGTATTTGATCGACTCTGACTACAAGATGGATCGGGTGTTAGATAAGGAGGGTCTGTCTGTCTGTCTGTTTTCGACATAGAACTTTGCACATATGTGCGGTAGTTCAAGTCGCCACACTTCACTCAGAACACAAAGCAAGAGAAGAAAGTAGGAGAAATGCATAATATAGATATGAAACAGAGGTGTATAGTAATAACGAAGAGCGAAACAGTTTCATTGGAAATCATAAGTCACAAGGAGTGGATGCATCTGCACCAGCCATTGAGAACGATTTTGAGCCATGTCACCAGTTGTTTCCAACCATTGGTTTTTACCATCCCGTGGACCCCAACCAGGAAGTCTACACCTTCCTACGTGGCTTAGACTAACTGTTGTGGATTTCATTGACTGGCGCCATGCTTTCGCTCGACCGCCGCTAGCTCTTTTCCAGCCTGGCCCTATATCAGTTAACATTGCACGTCAGTCGAGGAAGGCGATGACTAGGCATTGATGCGTAACACATGTCCTAACCATCTCAGTCGATGTAATTTCAGTCTCGTCGATTGATTTCCCCTCCTTACCTAGCACTCGACGCCTAACCTCAATATTTCTCACCTTATCATACCACTTCACGCGGGAGATAGAACGCAGACACATATGGTCGAAGACATCCAATCTTTTCATTATTTCCGCTCTCAATGGCCAGGTCTCACAGCCATAAAGGGGGACGGAGCGGACTGTTAAGCAGTAAACACGCCCTCTGGTCGATAGTCGGATATCACGTCTGCGCCAGAGACGGCGTAAACTGGCATATGCGAAACTAGCCCTCTGTACTCGTGTTGAGACTTCGTCAGCGATCAACCCGTTGGGGCTGATGATACTTCCCAAATAAGTGAAGCGGTCAACGTGCTCTACCACCTCACTTCCTATTTCTAATCTAGGGGTCGGTGTAGTCCAATCCTGCAAAATCATCTTACATTTTACAGGGGCGAATCGCATGCCAAACATACGAAGATTGCTGCTCAAGGTGTTCAGAAGACTCTGCATAAGGACGGTAAGTCAATCGATAAAGTTGCGAAGCACTACGCATGCTTAGCCATCGCCTTCCTCGATGGTCAATGTTAGCTGGCATAGGAACATTTTTTAAAAGAGCTAGTGGTGGTCAAACCAAAAGCATGGAAGCAACGCATGAAATCTCTAACAGTTAATTTGAGCCAACCACGAAAAAGCACCTAGATCGAAACCCGAAATAGTTGAAAAGAAACCAGTTTTTATCTGTCTAGTGTACAAAGGCGAAGAAGTGTCTATAAGAACTGAAAACAGAATTGAAGATGGATTGAAAACAACATTTCCTGCCGGTAGACTCATTCCACTTTACAGTACAGTATGCTCGTTAAGCCAGTTAAATGCAGATAAGTATTCTGTTCATGTCAACTCCAACTGTATTTATCGATTAACCTGCACTTGTAGCAGCAAGTACACAAGAAGGACTGAGAGGAGAGCGTTTACTAGATTTTTTGAACATATCCCAAAAATGTCTCCGTAGAAAGCCATCGAAGTATTCTCAAATGCAATCACCAGACACCTAATTGACACGGGACATACAGTGGAAATTAGTTAGGCTTTCAAAATAATCACTACACAAAGAAAACCACGGCTACTTCGGTTCGCAGAAGCCATTGTTATCAAAAGGCTTCGAGCTAACCTCTGTATACAGAAAAATAGCATGATCAACCTCAGACTACCCTGGTAACCGTAATTCTTCCGTTTGTATCCTTTTGTCCTTTGTTCTGTTGCATAATATTCCACTTAATTTTCATTCTGATTCTGACTTACTGAGTTCAACTCACTATTAAGTTAACAAATCCACTTAATTCTTTTGTCGGTGGCGCATTGGTAGAATGCTCACCGACCACGCACGAGCTTAGGGGTTTGATCCCCGACCGACACACCTCCAGACGTTTCTAAGCCAGTATTAAGAATGGTAGAGAGGGGAGGGGAGTGGTCAATGACCTCTCCACCACATAACCTTAAGTTCCTGGGCTCTATCCACAATGGGACCACTGGTGTGTACTGATAAAGAATCCCAAACTAGGATGAAGCAGCTGTCCAGTACTCCCTCCTGGTCAGCCGACTGAATTTCAACACAGAAATTT